TAATCTACATTTCTGTTTTTGTGCCAGTACCATACTGTCTTGATTACTGTAGCTTTGTAGTATAGTAGTCTGGGAGCCTGATTCCTCCAGCTCTGTTTTTCTTTCTCAAGATTGCTGTGGCTATTCGGAGTCTTTTGTGATTCCATACAAATCGTGCAATTTTTTGTTCTAGTTCTGTGAAAAATGTAATGGCAATTGCTTTTAAAAAGCCTCCAGTGGAAGTGCCATTTGAGCTGAGGTGTGAAGGTGGAGTGTTGTCTAGGTGAGGTGAGGTGAGGCTTTCCAGGGCAAAACACAGCAAACTGCAAAAACCCCAAGGTGAAAGGGGGCAGCACACATGAGGAACGGAGCTAGGTGTGATCTGCGTGGTTAAAACACACAGGAAGAGGGAAATCGGCTCAGATGAGGGTGAAGAGGTAAACGGGGGAAGACCATGCACCCTGAGGCCTGGGTTAGGAGGCAGAGTGTAAGCCACTGGAGGACTGTTGGGACTAGAGCAGAGCAACGTGATCTGTTTGGACAGGTTCTGGGTGGGAAGTGCTGGGATAGTTTTACAGTCCAGGCTCACACCATAGCAGACTGGCCTACAGTGGGGGTAGTGGAGGTGCTGGCTGAGTCCAGTTAGTCACATAAACAGCATACGGAGGTCCGTTCGCCTCATTTCTTGCGAGGAGTGTTATCATCAGCCTTTCAATTTTTACAATGTGATGAGGCTCTTTAGTTGCCTTTAATCTGATTACTAGTACAGTTAAGAATCTTTTCCTATGCTTACTGGCATATTTCAATTCCTTTCTATGTGGATTTCTTTATATCCTTTGTCCAGCTGCTCCTGGATTGTTGCCCTTGATTGGATCCTCTTTACATATCATGGGGTTCACATCTTGTTTGTTGTGTTAACTGTAAATAATTTGTCCATTTATTGTCTGTCAGTTGACTTTGTTTATAATGTCTTCCACCACTTGGGGTTGAATCTATCCACCCTTTCCTCTGGGCTTTTATAAGGCACTTCCCTCCTCTTCACACTAGTTTGGGTTTACACGGACATTTTTAAGAAGGGCAGGGACTACCTGGTATCCCCTTCACCCCAGGAAACATGTAGGCAGCAAAAAAGTTGCAGCTGAGAGCCCAGGAATTTTGAGTGCTTGTCTGTCATCTACTTGGAGGTTTCCCTGGGGTTGCTGTGGTCTTGGGAACAGCAGTTTCCTGACTTCTGAGAATTAAGGAGGGCTCTGCAGAGACTATTAAAAGAGAATTTGATCTGGTCACCTTATTCTGTATAACACAGTGTTGCTGTATAACACAGTGTGACCAACCGAGGCTCTGGAACTAGGCAAACATAAGGTTATGCTTGGTTTCTGATGCCAGCTGTGAGATTTCACACTTCAAGCCTGTTTCCTCATCTGGGAAATGGAGAAGAGAGTGGCACCAACGTCGTGGAGCTTCCATGGGGCTGTGGTAAGAGTGTACAAGACAGTGCCTGCACCACGGGTGCCCCACAGCCAGTGGTAACTGCCGCTGTTACAACTATAAGTTCCCAGGAAAAGGAAAGGCATTCAAAAATCAGTTACAACGTTTTAGAAGGAAGCCACTGCAGCATCTTAACATGGGAACATGCTACTAGAGACATTAGTCTTGAAATTTTAAAACTGGTGTCTCGTGGCAATTGTATCAGCACCTCCAGATGAATTAAGTCCCTTCCTAGGTGGAGGCAGGGCAGGGGACACACTCCTTAGCCAACACTACCTGATCCTATCAAATTCCAGAGCAAGGTAACCCTAACTCCAGGATGGGCTTCCTGTATACTAGCTCCTCCCTGATAGAGAATGAGGAGCAAGAAACTGCAAAGGACCCAAAACAAAACACTGGTTTGGTAAAATGAAACCAAACGGAGGAACACACCAGCCAATGTGCAAGACTGAACAGAACCTGGAGCCACCACGCTCACTTACGTTTTTTCTTACAAATCTGCCCAGATTCCTAACAACTCTTTTCGTATCAGAACAAAGGAGGAATGGGTTCCTCCCACGCTTCTGACAGGACAGGTAAAGAAAGCAGTGATCCTGGTGGTCAGGAGCCTGGATGCCTTGCTTCCAGCTTCCACAGGACTTGTTTCAGCAGAACGACTGCACCCCAAAAGGCTGTTCCCAAGCATCCTGACTACAGGTGGCCTCCCCGACTCCCCATCACTCTCTATCACATTCTCCTCCTCAATTTCTTCTGTAGCATTTATCACCTCCTGAAACAATTTTGATTATTTATTTGTATACTTACATATTTTCTGTCCCCTCAATTAGAAAGTAAGCTTCATGAGGACAGGACAGTTGCTGTCTTGTTTTTTCACTGAATCCCTCTTATCTAGAACAGCACACAGTACATATAGATCCTCAATAAATATTGAGTGAAGGCCAAACCACATCCAAAAGAGGCAGAGAGAATGGGAAACTCAAGAAAAAAAAATCAGTTGGACCCCTTCAATCCCAGACTGCTTTACTCAACCAGTAAACATTTGTTAAGTAACTACTAATGCTGCCCCCAAGCTTTAAATCAAGAAGTGACACCTTCTCACCAACTAATAAGATGTCACACGATCATCCACAGATGTAAGGTTCAGCCAGAGACTTCTACACCATACCGGCCTGCAGTATATTCACAAACTTTTAAGGTCCTCTGTCCTTTTCTGATCCCACTTCTTTACTCAACCTTCGGGTCTAAGCTTGAATGCAATTTCCTCAGACAGGCTTTTCTGAACCACCCCAATCTAAATTGAGCTCCCAACCAGCACTGAACATCGCGCTCTGTTCTTTTTCATTATGCATTAATCACACTTTGTAACTGCACATTTACTTGTACGTTCATTTGTTTAATGGCTACGTCTCTCATTAGAGACTGAAAGTTCCATGAAGGCAGAGATGTTATTTTCAAAAAAAACTTGTTTTTGAGCAAATCAATAAAGCTTTACTCTTTTCTTTCCCCACAGTTCTTAAGTAAAGCAGTAAAGCATATGTACTTCAAAGGCACTCCCACTAGGCTGAACACCTGAAGGAGGTTTATAGAGTAAAAACAGGTATATGTGAGGCCAGATCATGTTGGTTTGGTCACTGTGTATACTAAAATTTTGTACAAGTTATTTAACTTATCTGAATTTGCTTCCTCATCCATAAAGCCAAGTGATTGAACTAGATAACCCTAGAGGCTCCCCCCAGAATTCTAACTGACCCACTGATGATTAAAGAAGACAGCAGGTTAGCAAGGAGCATGGTATCTCTTGGATTAGATTGGCCTAGATGATCTGGCTCTAAATGTTATGCTTCCCATGAAGCATGAGCTTTTGGCTACCTTTACAGAGGGCATAAATCATGGGTCTTAGTCCCATCCTATCTGGGAGGCTTTTTCGGCATTCTATTGCCCCAGCCAGGTTGACAGCACCAAACTAATTTCCACTTAGTTAAAATTGGGACTCCAAGTAACAGACTACAGGGAGCCCCTCTAAACCCCTGAAAGAGCCAAACCATGATCTATAATACGTTCAGTCAAACTGTTTACCTTGATTCGAGGCATAGTAACTGTAGGTGGCTTTGCTTCAGCCACAAAACTGTGAGATGATCCTTTTTCCACAAGGTAAGTTGTGTAGGGCATAAATTTCACACCCTTTGACCCAAACACAAAGTCATCTCTCAAGGCGTCTATCAGCATAATAACAACTTTACTGAAGAGAGGTGGTGGGAGCTTGGTCCAGTTGGAAATGGCTCCTAAGAGTGTTTGAAAAAGAAAAAGAAAATTGAATTTCACCTTTATTTAGCATTCAACCACCTTATAATCTAGTTTCTGCTTACTTCTCCAGCACATACTCTGTCACACCTACATATCCTGAGCCAAAGAAAAAGGCCTGTTCTTGGGAAACAACGCTGGGATCAGGGGGTGGGCAACAAGTAAGCTCAGGGAGCCCTAATATTATGTAGTGAATTACCCTTAGCATGATGGGGAGTACTGGCACAGAGGAGTCCCTTCGTGAGTATCCTGGAATGGGACATTAGGGAGATTGCCCTAGAACACAGTGTTGCAGGTAGGGGATGGGCGAGCATTTACAAACTGTCTTTCCATGGTTAGTAGCTGGTATTGTGTGGATTTGATCCAAAACGTGAGTTCCTTTACCTAAGATATACTGTTGGGTAGGTGAGGGCTAGGGAGGGGCCTAGGCAGGGAGGTCTTAACTACTGGAAAAAACGGGGTCTTGGAGGAATGCCATAGAAGAAAACACGAGAGGTCGGCAGCTATCTTATCTGTTGTGTCTTCCTGAGCAAAAAGGGTGCCTGGAACAGGGAGTGACCCAAACATCTGCTCAGGGAAGGGGGTTGGGGTGTCACTGGATGAGTAGAGCTGGGGAGACGCTTACTCTTTACGGGTATGGAGATCTTACTTTGCGGTGACCAGGGAGGAGGGTCTTAGTAGGGCTGGTAGTGGTGCTTGCCACAAACTTGTAGGATACATAAAAGGAGGCTGGAACGGTAAGAAGGGGACCCTAGGGGATGGGGACCAGAATGGAAGAGACCACCCGGGAGCCGCGGGAAGAAGTCCAAGAGGCGAGGCTGATAAGGAGGGTCCTCCGGGAAGAGTGGGGCCCGGGGAGCAGAGACGCCCGGGGAGCGGTCCATACCAGCCGAGGGTTCGGGCGCTGGGGACTCTGTTTGGTGCTCCGTCCCGGAAAAGGAACAAACGGGAGCCGGGAAGAATCCTCGGAGGAAGAGCGCGACCCCGAGCACCTCGATCACTACGCAGCAGGCGGCGAAGGTCCCGGAGCCCAGCCGCATCGTGCCCACCAGCCGGGCCGGGATCCGGGTTCCCGGACTCCAAGTCACGTCTCGCCCAAAAGCACCGGCTTCCGCCTCCAGGGAGCCGCCTCCGAGCAAGCGCGAACTGGAGGTCAGGACAGGTGCCCGGCGCCCCCGCGTCTGCCGTCGCGCCGGAAATACGCGCCAGGGTCCAGGCGCTTCCGGGGCGGGGCGGCCCTGAGCTCACGGGCGTCTCGTGTACTTCTGGGGCGTCTGCCGGCGAGGCACAGCCAGCCCCGTGTTAGGGTCTGAGCCCCTCCGGCTGTCTCGGGTTTATGGAGACTATGCTGTGTGCCGTGCCTCCTGCCAGGAGCTGTCATGCATTTTGCCGCGTTTGCTCCTCAGCAGCCTGCTGAGTCAGGTGCCATCGCCCTGAGAGCCCTCGTGTGTCTTGGGCAGGTCTGTGCAGAGGACGCCGTCTCCGACCACGGCTTCGAGTTGGGCTGCCGTTACCTCGCTAAGTGACCTCCAGAAGGCAAGCAGACTTCCTGGGTCTGGGTGTCCCTGTGCGGGATTGGACCCCGGGACTTTCTTGGGGCCGCATCCAGACCCCTTTACTGCCTGGTGCCTCCATCTCCGGCTTCTGGGTGTGCTGGGGGCCAACAGCTCACAGCCACCCCCTTCTCTGAATAGTTAATTGTCCTTGGGGAACTGCTGCGCCCTGGAAGTTACCACTCCCCAAACGCCTGGAGCTCATGACTGATTGGGGTTGCAGTATAAAGGCCCAGCTCCTTTGCCTCCAAGAGAGTTGACTCGTGCTATTTGTGCTCCGAGCTCCTCTGGAATGAAGTTGAAGGTAGTCTTAAGCTAAGACCACATCCCTGCTGCTTTCTCCTGCTTTCTTCACATCCTCCTCCCCAGAGCCTTCTCTTGTTAAGGCTTATGCACCCGACCTCCCTTCTAAGGCTCTCCTTTAAGGAGACTAGGCCCAAGGCAGACTCCAAGGTGTGTCTCCGAGCCTTAAATGTGATGAGTCTATAACGAGTCAGTTTTCCCAAGCTCTGACGATGACAGTCTAAGCTTCTACCACCTTCTCACCAGTACACAGTAACCATGCATGTTGATAATAACCATTTAATGACAGCTGAGGTTTATCTAGTTTATCACCTGCCGGGCACTAGATCAAGCCCTTTAAATGGATTATTTTATTTGGTTAACACAACAACCCTTTGAAGTAGGTAGTTTTATTATTTTTTATTGCAGACAAAGAAATGATGTCAGAATGTGAAGTAGCATATCCAAAGTAACACAGCTAAACAGCCACAGAGCCAAGATTCAGAGCTATTAGTCTGACTCTGAGCCTGAGCTTTGAATCTCCACACTTTGCTAACATCTCAGAAAAACAAAAAACATCTTCTCCCTTCCAGTGGTTCTTGTTATGGGCTCAATTGGGTGCTCCCCAAAATTCATATATTGAAGGCCTAACCCTCAGTAGGTCATAACGTGATTTTATTTGGAGACAGTGCTTTTAAAGATATAATTAAGTCAAAATGAGGTCATTTGGGTGGGCTCTAGTCCGATGTGACTGGTGTCCTTAGAAAAGAGATTGGGACACACAGGCACGGAGGGAAGACCATGTGCACACATGGTGAGAAGGTGGTCATCTAGGAGCCAAGGAGAAAGGCCTGAGGAGAAACAAACACTGTCAACACCTTGATCTTGGACTTCGGGCCTTTGGAACTGTCAGAAAGTAAATTTCTGTTGCTTAAACCATCCAGTCTGTGGTACTTTATTATGGCAGCCCTAGCAGATAAATAGAGTCTGTATTAGATTTATACCTCTTCATAACAAATACCACAAACTTAGTAACTTAAAACTAAGTTTTATGATTTATGATCTCAGTGTCTGTGGGTGAGGAGCCTGGGCATAGCTTGGTGGGTCCTCTGCAAGGTGGCATTCGAGGTATTGGCTAGGGCTCTGTTTGCATCTGGAGTCTCGACTGGGGAAGGACCCAGTTCCACTCTCACTCAGGTTGTTGACAGAATTCATTGCCTTGCAGCAGTAGGACTGAGGCCCTGGCTTCCTGCTAGCCGCTAGCCAGAGGCCACCCTTGACTCCTAGACACATAGGCCTCCCTAAATAGCCTTTGACGTTTCTGTGAATTAAAACTATGATGTTCTAGGTTTATGTATAAAATAGATAACTAGTGAGAACCGACTGTATAGCACAGAGAACTCTACTTGGCGTTCTGTGGTGACCTGGATGGGAAGGACGTCCAGGAGGGAGGGGATGTATGTGTACGTAAGGCTGATTCACTTTTCTGTACAGCAGAAACTAACACAACGTTGTAAAGCAACTACACTCCAGAAACAAACAAACTAACTAAACTCCTAGGTGACACAGAATCAGTGATCCCTGGGAATCCCTCTGGCAGTGTGTCATTATTCAGCTGGGCATGGCTGGGGGAGATGCAGACACTGGGTGGGCGTCAGACCTTACAGGGCTGCTGAACATCTCTGTTCCTTTTCCTTTCCTGTCCAGGAGTGAGAATCCAGAATAATGAGAGGACAGCCAGCAGGGGAAGGAAGTCCCCGGGAGGCGAGTTGGTCTGTTTGTATTTTCCTTATTTTAGCATGCATTTTGTTATTGTGTGTTTTTGCTAGGAAATCACCAATTTCCTGTGGATTTCCAGTTTGATGCAATAGGTTTCTCTTGAGTTTTAATTTTTCCTCTTTCTCTAGTTTTCAACAGAATTGTCACAATTACGAACAAATATGGGTACCTTATTGATAACTAAAATCCATATTTTACTTGGGTGCCCTTCGTTCTCCCATTTTGTGTCCTAGGATCCCATCCAGGGTATCCCATGGCATTGAGTCATAGTGTCACTTTAGTATGTTTTCAGCTTTGACATTTTCTCACACTGTCCTTCCCTCTATGACCTCAGCAGTGTTGAGGTGGACTAGTCAGGTATTTCGTAGATTGTCCCGCATTGGGATTTACTTGGTGTTTTTCTTGTGATTAAAATGGAGTCATGGGTTTTGAGGAAGCAGATCACAGGGGTAAAGTGTTTTCTTGTGACTTTATATCGTGGGAACATACATCAGGGCAACTTATCACTGTTCATGTTAGCTTTGCCCTTCTGGCTCAGGTAGTGTTTGTCAGATTTTCCCCACTGTGAAGTTACTTTTTCCCTAAGTCTGTACTGTGTGTCTTCTTTAGGATGAAGCCACTGTGTGGCACCCACACTTCAGGAGAGGGGAGTGTTTCATTTACCGCTGCTGTGTACTAACATTTGAAATTGGGCAGTGTGACCCTCCAACTTTGAATTTCTTTTGAAAAATTGTTTTAGCTCTTTGGGGTCTCTAGAAATTCCGTATTTTGGCGTTTCACATTTTGCTCCCCTTCACGTGGATGTACCCCAGTTTGCTTATGCATTCATCTACTGAAGACATCCTGATTCCATTTAGGTTTAGGCATTATGAGTAGAGCTTCCGTGCACAATAGCATCCTTGTTTTTGTTTGGATAGAGTTTTACAAAGCAGTTGTGTAAATATTGAAGGTGTGATTGATGGATCTCAAGGTGTGAGACTTGTTTGGCTTTGGAAAATCCTGCCAAACTGTATCTCAAGGCCATCTACGCGTTCCATCGGCGATGAAGGAGAGCTGTTGTTCCCCACCCTCCAGTGATCAGGGTCGTCCTTGTGGGAGGAGGTTAGTAGTTCTCATAGGTCCGTATCGCTGTCTTGTTTTACTTTGTGATTCCCTAATGGTATATGATGTTGATCGTGTTTTTATCCACTTATTATCTGTTTATCTTCTTTGGCCAGACATCTATTCAGATCTTTACCCATTTTTAATGCAGTTGTTTGTTTTATAGTTCTTTGTATAATTTGAGTACAAATTATTTATCAGATATGTGTTTTGCAAATATTTTTCTCCCAGTTTATTGCTTGTTTTTCAGTTTTCTGGAAAAGGCATTTCACCGAGTAGAAATTTTTAATTTTATAAAGAACACGTTACTGGGGTAAACCATAATGGAAAAGAATGTATATATGTGTATAATAACTGAGTCACTTTGCTGTACAGCAGAAATTAACACAACATTGTATGGTTTGTTTTTTTTTTTGCGGTGCTCGGGCCTCTCACTGTTGTGGCCTCTCCCGTTGCGGAGCAACAGGCTTCGGCCGCACAGGCTCAGTGGCCATGGCTCACGGGCGCAGCCGCTCCGCGGCATGTGGGATCTTTCCGGACCGGGGCACGAACCCGCGTCCCCTGCGTCGGCGGGCGGACTCTCAACCACTGCGCCACCAGGGAAGCTCTAACACAACATTGTAAATCAACTATACTTCAATAAAAAAAATTAATTTACGAAGAACATGTTATTAACTTTTTTCCTTTTGTGCATTGGCTTTTTGTGTTGTGTGTTAAAAGTGAAACCTCATGATCTATGTGCCCAAACCCATGGTCATGTAGATTTTCTTCTATGTTTTCTTTTATAGTTTTTATAGTTTTATATTTTAAATTTCTCTGTGGACACTTTGGAATGACTTTTGGTGTAAGTTGCAAAGTCTGTGTCTGCATTCATTTCATTGCATATGGTTTCTGATTGTTCTATACCTATTTTTCAAGAAGTCATGGCGTATTTGCTGCCATATGTTTGAATTTCCAAACATTAGTGGGTTCAGCAGGACGGCCAGCAGGGAACTCGGTCTCCTCTGAACTGGGAGTGGGCACAGCCTGCATTTCCCACTTTGCCAGCACAGGGTGACAAGCCCACTCCTCTTACCAGCGCGCACCTGCCTTTTCTGCACACAGGGCTGGCCTTGTGCACAGCTGACAGGAGCCTGGCCTCCTCAGGAACCTCCAAGGATTTGGCTTCGGGACAATGCAGGGCTGCATCCACGTTGAGATGAGCTCGGTTTCCTCAGGACTGGCTGGGAGGTGCCTCCATGGGAGAAAAAGGTGAGGAAAAAGTGGGGAGAAGCTTGCTGTGCTGACTGCCTGGCTGACTGCCTGGGGTGGGTGTTTGTTTTCAGAGGACCCAGCAGAGGAGGGGCTTGATGTGGAGAATTGTGGGTTTTAGTGAGTTTTGTGTGTGTGCCGTGTCCTCCTTTGGCTTGTGATGTTCCATTTTCCAGGCAGTTTATTGAGGGGACTGTCCTTTCCCTGGGGTATGTCCTTGGCAGCTTTGGCATAAATTAACTGACCACATGTGTGTGGGCTTATTCTTGGGCTCTTTGTTCTATTCTTATGGCCCCTTTGTCTCTTTTTGTGTCATTTCTACACTGTTTGGTTACTGTAGCTTCGTAATATGGTTTGAAGTCAGGGAGTGAGTTTCCTCCAGCTGCTGTTCTCCTTTCTCAGGATCCCCTTGGCTGTTCGGGGTCCTTTGTGGTTCCATACAAATGTCAGGACTGTTTGTTCAGTTTCTGTGAAAAATGCCTCTGGCATTTCTGTAGGAATTGCATTGAACGTGTATATTTGGGTAGAATGAACATTTTAGCACTACTAATTCTTCTTTCTATCCATGAGCACAGGGTATCTTTCCATTTATTTACATCTTCAGTTTCTTCATCAATGTCATAACATTTTCAGTGTGCAGGTCTTTCACATCTTTGGGTAAGTTTATTCCTAGGTATTTTGTTCTTCTGATGTTACGGTAACTGGGGTTGTTTTCTTAATTTCTCTAATAGATTTTTGGTGGGTTGATGTGGAAAACTGGAATTAGAAATCCCACTGTTTCTACCACATCCAGGTCGTCCAGAACACCCAAGACGGGACTTCCCTGGTGGTGCAGTGGTTAAGAATCCACCTGCCAATGCACGGGACGTGGGTTCGATCCCTGGTCCAGGAAGATCCCAAATGCCGCGGGGCAGCTAAGCCTGTGAGCCACAACTACTGAAGCCCGTGCACCTAGAGCCCGTGCTCCTCAACAAGAGAAGCCACCGCAATGAGAAGCCCGCGCACGGCAACGAAGAGTAGGCAACGAAGAGTAGCCCCCGCTTTCCGCAACTAGAGAAAGCCTGCGTGCAGCAACGAAGACCCAACGCAACCATAAATAAATAAATAAAAATAACTAGACTGTCTTTTCTAATCTGCATGTGTTCAATGTACAATTCTTGTACACCTTTTTCCTCACCTCTGTTGGAGGCTGATTCAGAACACATACAACCTCCTGGAGAAACTTGCCCCGACCCTGCTATGTACTGCCACCTAGCTGGCCTGGTACTGAGTCACCAAAAACTTTTGTTCTTTACTTGATTCTTAATTCCTTTAGAATTCATTACTTTACTGTTATAAATGTTTATTGTCCTTGTAATAAATCTTTTAATAAATCATTTTTATTTTAAAAATAAAATATTGTACTTTAATTACTCCATAGATGAGTGATGAATGGATCACACTTGACATATGATTGTAATCTTTTTATAATTATTAAAGTAATACACACATGTTATAAAAAAATTGAAATATTACCTAAAGAAAAGACGTTTGCCAATCCCACCCCCAGAGGTGACCATCTTGAATGGTTTGGTGCATCTCTCTCAGGGTCTATCTGTCTCTCTCTGTCTCTGTCTCTCACACACAAGCAGATTTGTTTACATTTATGTTGATTTCACATCTGTGTGGTCTTACAGATGGGATCCTGGATGCAGATGGTTGGTCCTTGTGCTTCCCACCTAAGAGGACCCTGAAGTCTCCCCTGTAATCAGGGGAGTGGGGGCATCTGAGGGCATTTCCCTCAAAGTATGCCTTAGTGACATTGATTATTTTGAATTAATGTTACTTAAGAAAAGAGCCATGCAAGAGAGACACTCCTTACCTCTTTTTTCTTTTTAGGAAGAAATAAATCTCTCCTGTGAAAGGTACCCCACCTGGGGGCTGAGACCTGAGGGCAGAGGGCTGCAGGCGTGCTGGCCCCTGCAAATCAATTCATTTTGGGAACCTTCTGTCGAGACTACTGAGGTGCCAGTTAGCTTTGTGATGACCAAAGCCAACTCCTGTCTCTGCCTGTTTCTGAGAAAAGGCCTGAGTCTGAGCCATTATAGATTCTCTGTATTTCTTGGCGTATGGACTGACCTGCACCCTCTCATCCTGACAGACCCCTTGTAGAAATACCTTCACTTTAAGAGTTCTTTCACCTCATCCAGAAAATAAACAAATTCCCCATCCCCATACCCAACAAACAAGGAGACAGATATCCATCTGCTTTCCTACCTCAGTCACTTCAGAGAGTCCCTCTCTTAGAAATACCTTAAGCTCAATGACATACCGCTGTCTCCCTTTCTCTGGCACCATGCCATCCCTGGGTGAGCCCCGTCTTATGTGGGCTCGACGGCACCATTTAGATGAGCCAGAGACAGTACCCCGAAGTGGCCTGATGGTACCACCATACATTGAAAATGACCTACACACCAAATTGGCCTTAAACATGGTGGTCCAGAGACCAGGGATGTGCATGTGCCTCTGATGAAATCACTGCTCAGGAGACCCCAGCATCTATCATCCATCTTCTCCACGTTCTTCTGACCTTTGCTCTTCCTCTTTTCAGCTGATATCTTGCTAGATTGTTCATGGACAAATTAGATCCCGTCTGGCAAAAGCAGAATCATCTTCCCAACACATGAGAACAGGCACGGGCCCGCACCCATCTTATCCCTCCTTGCCTGCCCAGCCCGTCATGTCAGAAACGTGTCCCTCCTCCTGTCAGAAGCCAGACGCCAGGTAAAGGACTTAGATGTAAAGGAAACCAGAATATTGTCTTGAGCTACTGACACTTCAAGAAACAAAGCAAAAACAACCCCCCCCCCCCCCACCACAATACAGCAGGTGCAGAAGGGCGTTCTGAGCCTTCTCCTCTTCTTTCCTGGAAGCAGCAGATAACATGTCCCCCCCGCCACTGCACCCCCACCCCCCAGAGGAAGACGCCTTCCCTCTGCTGGAAGGAGAGTGACATTGCGATCGTCAAGGGCAGA